CGGGGGGGGGGAGAGAGCCGTTCCCGCTCGGGCAGTCGAGGCTGTCCGAGTTGCTCATCACCAGTAGGAACTCCCCCCCAAGCGAAAGCAGGAGCATTTGCTGGATGATTCGGAGGTTGAAGGAGTCGAGGAGCCTGGTCATGCATGCGAACGGTAATTTGGAACAGCTCGCCCAACATACGTTTAACCTTTCAATTTCGAGGCGGGCCTGTCAGGGCCCCATGGGAGACCCATGGCGAATTCTGGCACGCCTTCGCGCGCGAGATGGGCACCCTGGCCCTCGACCGCGACAGCCGCCCCGCCATGCTCGCTGCGGCCGAAGTTTGGATTGTGACGTTGAAGGAGCTTCACGGTATCTGCATTCAAAAGGAGAGGGAGGAGGCCAGCAGAAGGTGGGAGGAGTGGCGCGAGGAGGCCCTGGCTGCAGGAGCGAGGAGAGCACGCAGCACCACTCAGGCCGCCAACGGTTTCACTGGGGACGGCTTGAAGCACCCTGAGGGGGGCCCCACGTCTGCGTTCGGGGTTCGGTTCCAAGAACAGCGCGATATTTTGTCCAAGGCCTGGGACGCCCACTGCAAGCCCATGGAGTTCCCAGACGTGGACCTCGACTACAGGATGCCTGTAGAGCCCACGCCAGAGCAGCTCAATCACATCTCCGCGGGGTTAGGTCAACGCCGCAGCGGTTGACGGGCACCGCCCCGAGCACTTCTCGTAGCTCTCGGGAGGGGCCCTTGAAGTCATGGATGGCATTTCCAATGTCATGGACATTTTGTGCGCGAGCCCCTCGGCCCTGACGGGGCGCATCGTCGCCCTGTTTAGGAAAACTATCGGGCGCCGCCGTATTGATTTCTTCAAGAGTTTCATCAGAGTTTATTCAAAGGGTCTCGCCCATCATTGCGGTCGATGGGAACGAGTGGCAGCCGCGCCGAGTCATTTCAACATGGCCCCACATAGGCGCACCGCTGATTCAGTGTGGAGAGCGGCTGCGAGAACTGACCTGGCCGACTACGAGGGAGATTTTGTCGCCTCCCTCCTGGCGTATTTGTTGAAGCAGCGCTACGAGCGAATCAGCCGCGATGCCGTGTCGGGACAGTCGCAGGATCCCCCGCAGCCATTTTCGATGTGAAAGTCTACTCTCCAGATCGACGACGTTGCGCTCGAATCGATCGCCGACGCGGTCGACGCATGCATGCGTAATTCGGCCAATCTTGCGGGACGGGTTTTCTTCGAGTTTACCAGCGCCTTCGAGCCCCCAATGCGCGTGAAAAAAGTTAAACTTCACGTCCAACAGTGCCGGGGTCATGAAACAGGGCCCCTTGTTGCTCCTGGGGGGGGGGCACTCTGGGATCCTTGCGGGCCCCATCGCGAACCTAGGTACGGACTTAAATATTGGCAAGGCCAGAGCGCCGAGAGGGCGCAGAGCTAAAAAGAGTTCCCGTTGGAAATAAAGTTAAAGTGCATCCCAAAAATACGTCGTCTTCGGGGTCGAGTTCAAGGGAAGCCACAAACGGTCAAAATCTTTACATGCGGGGTAATGCCGTCGATCTGCTACGGGGAAGAGGTTCAAGGGCATTCCCCAGACGAGATCCGCGCGCTCTGTATTCTAACCTCCAAGGTTGTTCTAGGCACGTGGTTTGCAGGTGCCGCAATTGACCTACGCTGGCTGTTCAAGCCGTTGGCAGACCCCCCCCCCCACCCCCACCCCACCCACCACCACGCCAGCGCCACCCTCAGGAGGTATTGCTGCGAGTGGTGGATGACAACAGACGCGCAGATAAAGACGAGAGACGCGCTGGGCCCGAAAGAGCTTCGCCTCAGCTTCGAGCGAGTCCCCCAGTGACTTTTCCGAGAGACAGGCCAGTAAAGCGAGCTGGCAACATCGAGTTCGCAGCCCGATCACTGACGCCTTGTTTTGGATCGAGCAAGCAGGTTGGAAGTTCACGGGCCCCGCCAAATTGGTTACCGTTAGCAACATCGAGTCAAACCTCACCGAGGACTCACCAGCTATGATCCAGAAGCTGTTCGTGGCGGACCTAAAGACGCAGCTCCTGGACAAGGCTGTTTAACGTAAGCTCCAGGTCCCCGAGGACCCTGACGAGGGCCTCCACCCCAGGGCCCAAGCTATCCGCGAGAGAGGCCCATGGGGATATCCGTTCAGCAAGGTTTGGAACAGCGTTCAATGGAGCTTTGGGGCAAGGAAGATTCTGATACATCTGGTTTGCGGGCCGCCCCCTACCAGTCACGTTCTCTGGAAGAGAGGGTGCCAGGTGGAGCCTGCCTGCCAGTGCTGCGGCCTGTGCGACACTGAGTTTCACCGAAATGGCACTGCCCCCACGGTGAGCCAGCCCGTGCGCAGGTAGATGATATCATTATTCAGGCCGCGAGGAGCTCCGTAAGGACCCCCTGTATACCAGCCTCTGGATACCAGATCCAGAGATCGCTCAGCCTCCGCCCGAGGAGGATATCGTAGAGTACAGCGACAGGTCGGGGGAGATTGATCCGTCCGATTTCAGGGGCCCTACGAAGGTCTTCATCGACGGGAGTTGTTTGGAGCCGACGCGGCCTCTCCTAGCCCGTGCGGGCTGGACTGCGACAGAAATCATCACGGGTGGGGACCTCAAAAGAGCCGTTCGAGGCCCATTTCCACGCGAATGCCCCCAAAGTGCGACCTGGCCGGACATCACGGTCCTTCGAAAGCTATCGAGCATCTGTGGCAGGACCCCGCTAAGATAGGCGAGGACGAGACAGATATCCACGCCGATCGCAGCGCTCTGATCACAAGTTGCGCCTGTTCTTTCAGGGCGCTCGACGGGGCCACCCAGCAGGCTGGTCATTGGCGCCAGATCCAGAAGTTAGACTCAGAGTTCAGTATGCACAAAGCTAGAGCTCACCAGTCGCCGGCGCGCGGGGATCGGGAGTGGGCCGAACACCGACTTGCGATTGGAAGCGCCTGGGCTGACAGCACGCGCCGCGAAGCAGCCCGTTTTTTTTTTTTTTTTTTGGGGGGGGGGGCGGCCCCCCAGGATGCCGAGTTTGTAGAGGAGATCCTGGACGGATGGTTTGCGGTTTCCAAGGCTGCTGTTTCAAATTTAGAGCTCTGGCCCCCTGCCAGGGAAATGCGCGGAACCTCGGTCAAAGTCCGAGCCCAGAGCCCCCCCCCCCCCCAAAGACACCCAGCGGCACTGTGTTCTGAGGAATGGTAGACTGTGGCAGTGCGTTCGTTGCGCTCGTTATTTCAGGAACCCGCCCTGTGGCCAGAAGTGCTGCGCCTTTTGCCCCATCACTTGGGGAACTCATGCGAGGCCCGACCACCGGCGGGAGATCTCACAGCGCGTGGGCTGCACAGATCGAAAAGTCGGGAATGCCAGTTTTATGTTGTGCGCGCTGCGGATCAGATTGCACGGAGACGCCCAGGTATCTCCTGGGCCCGCGCAAGAATATCAAGACCGCGCAGCTGCGAGATTTCAGGTGCTGACTCTTGCCCTGGCCCAAGGGCGCGCGTCTCAGCAGGCCCTGGGGGGTCCTCCACAGCGCCGCCTCTTGGCGGAAGGACGGGGTCGAGCGGGTCGGGGAGGGGGCCTCTTTTCAAAGATGACCACCCTGGTCGTGGTCACTTCATCTAGCTCATCCAGGGTGTCTCACAGTGCGCGGTAGCCTGAACCTCGCAGCGTGTTCGACTTGGGGTCCAAGCGGCTGTCCTTGTCGTTGCTGCGCGTGGACAGCGCTCCCCCATGTTGCACGGCCGCGCTGCAGGAGCAATCCCCCCGCGGCGACAGTTGCTCAGGGGGGCCGCCACTCTCTCTGTTTAATGTGCGGGGCACGGGGGTAAAACATGTCGTCTTGCCTAGCGGTGCTGGCATCGCACAGCCAGCCCTGAAACTCGGGCCGAGGCGTTCCGCCAGGCAGGCTCGGTTTGGGCCTACCGTTCACCCCGACCGTCGCCCCGCCCTGTCTAGATTGTTCACTTGCGGTAGCCTGATGCGCGCAGTGGGTTCGCCCTGGGGTCCAGAGGCCGTCCTTGACACCACGGCGTGCTGTTGGCGTCCCCCGTGTTCGCACGGCCGCGGAGACGAGGTCATTCCCTCTCTGCGGCGGCAGCTGCACAGGGGGGCCGCCTTTCCAGCGTGTGGGCAGGGCGCGAGGGTGACCTGGCGCAGCCAGTCCGCCTCGACCGTCGCTCTGGCCCTCCCCCATCCCTTCAGTCTGTCGACCTGTTTGGCGGTGCTGGTGCTACGCAGCCAGCCCTGGAACTCGGGCCGCGGGGTTCCGCCAGTCGGGCGGTGCGTTTCACTGCTCTTTTTGCCGACCTGTTTTTGGCGGTGCTGGCGTCGCGCGGCCAGCCCTGGAACTCGGGCCTCGGGGGTCCGCAAGACGGGCGGCGCTTTGCATTTCTTCCCTTGGGGGGGAGGGGCTCGGCGCGGAGGTGGTCTGGTTTTGCCAGGCCGCCTTGACCGTTGCCATGTCCCCCGCCAAGTAGTTTTGGTTTGACGAGTTCGCCTGCCCTGGCCAAAGGGCACTGGCTCAGCCGCACCAGGTGCGACCTCCACACCGCGCCACTTGGCGGAGGGTCGTGGCGGGCTGGGTCCGGGCGAGGTTTCCGCAGCCCCCAATCAGAGGGGAGGTTGGTGCGCGAGAGGGCAGGCGAGCAACGAGTTGGCTGCCCTCAAGAGGCCCATGAATGAATGAATGAAGGAAGGAAGGAAGGAAGAAAGGAAGGAGAAGGAGGAGGGGGAGGAGGGGGAGGAGGAGGAGGAGGAGGAGGAGGAGGAGGAGGAGGAGGAGGAGGACGAGGACGAGGACGAGGAGGGGAGGAGGAGGAGAGGAGGAGGAGGAGGAAGCAAAGGAGGGGGAGGAGGAGGAGGAGGAGGAGGAGGAGGAGGAGGAGGAGGAGGAGGAGGAGGAGGAGGAGGAGGGGAGGCGGGGGGAGTGGAGGAGCTGAACGGGGAGACGCAGGGAGAGGGAAGATGGGGAGGGCCCAGCGCGCCGACCGAGCCTCGGAGGTGGCGACGCACCTGGAGTCGCTGGCGTGGTCGTTTACTGGAGCCGAGGGGGGCGACATCAAGGGCCGTCAACACTCCACCATCTCCTCCACGTTCTTCTCCATTGTGCTTGTTTTTCTGATTGAAAAAAAGGGAAAAGGCAGCATAACCATAAACTTTTGGCGCTCCGCGCGGATTTCTTGGATCCGCGCTGGGCCCCCCAGCGGCGCCTCTGGCCCCTCTCCCTGGCGCGCTCCGCGCACCAGGGAGGGGGGCCCGGCGCGGATCCAACAAATCCGCGCGGAGCGCCAAAAGTTTATGTTGATGCCGTTGTTTTTTTCTGTCCACACTCTCCTCCTTGTGCTTGTGTTTCTCCAGGCTCGCGCCTCGGCTGCATCCCCCCCCCACCCCCACCTGCCCCATGGCACTCGTGGGTCGAGCGCCTCTCCCTGCTCAGAGGCGAGTAATGCGTACGCGCCGCATCGTTTTCGATTTTGTCTGGCCGTTTCGCTAGGGACATCCTCGACATTCTGAAAATCGGTGGCACCCCTCACCCCTCACATGACGTCAGGGTCCAAAAACACATGGGAATTTCAACATGTTAACATAAAACCTTCCAAAACACATTGTAAGTTCAATGATGTTGACCCCGATTCTCAGAGAATGGCGGTTTCGCTTGAGACATCCTCCCAAAATCGAGCCCCGACGTACCTTCTGGTACCCCAGACTCCGCCTCGAAGCCTCCTGGGGGTCTCCTGGAACCTCCTGGGGCCTCCTGGGGCTTTCCGTACTTTCTGGTACCCCAGACCCCGCCTCGGAGCATCCTGGGGATCTCCTGGAACCTCCTGGGGCCTGGGGCCTCCTGCGGCCTCCTGGAGCCTCTTGGGGCCTCCTGGAGCATCCTGGGGTCTCCTGGGGCCTCCTGCGGCCTCCTGGAGCCTCTTGGGGCCTCCTGGAGCCTCCTGGGGTCTCCTGGGGCCTCGGCCGCCTGGGGCCTCCTGGGGCCTCAGAACTACATGTATACACAGAGACACACATCACACCCAACACATCACGCGCTAGACAAACATAACACACACACACAACACCTACAACGCACAGAAAGCACGCACAACACAGAGCACACATCACACACACCCACACAACACTCACAATCCTGAGGCCTCCTGGAGCCTCTTCCAGTATCCAAGTCGGGCCTCCTGAGGCTTCCTGGGGGGCCCTGGTACACACATCGCAAGGTGTGGCAACCCCACTTGCGCTCCAATGCGACCTGGCTATTGCATTTCACTCCCAGCAGCTATCCTCCTCCTCTTCTCCTGCTTCAAACGCCCTTTTCAGCTTTTGTTGTACGAGCCTGGGCACACACGTGCCACTTGTGTATATGAATATAGTTTCCTTTAGAGGATGCTTTAATACAGATCCGTTATCAAAGGGTTTCGCCGCAACTATTCCTTAAGAAGGATTCCTTGGTTAAGAGCTTCTACTAATGATTCCTGTTCAGATATTCTTGATTGAGGGTTCCGGAGTACATATTTACGATTGAGGATCCACCCGTAACTATTAGTTAGTAGGTGTTCCACAGTACAGATTTCGGGCTAAGCACTTCTCAGCAAATACTCCTCATCCGAGATTCCGCAGCAAATGTTTCTTGTTCAGTGTTTCTCCGTGAAGATTCCTTATGCAGGGTTCCTCACATTATGGGTTCCTGAATACAGGTTCCTCGCGAAGGACTCCGTAGTAAAGGTCATGTGTAAGGCGGTGTCTTAGTAATGGGTCCTCAGTAATGCTTCCTCTATACAGCCTTTTCACGCATTCATTCGTAAAAAGTGTTTTCTGTAAGTATCCCTCAGTTGAAGTTCTTGTAACAAGAAAGATTTCTTAGTACTGATGCTTCACTGAGTATTCCTTAGCAGCGATTCCATACAGTAACTTTGTTTCTTGCATGGTCCTTTAGTAGAGAATCCGCATCACGGATTCGTTCGTAAAGAAGATATCTTACTAAGGGTCCCCTCGTGGAGGTTCCTCACTAAGGATCAGTACTGACCCCATCATCGAGGATTCCTCGCAAATATTCCCTATTAAGGACTCAGTGAAGATTCCTTCTTAAGTGTTCCCTCGTACATATTATTTATGGTACAGATTCCCTATTGGGGATTCTTCAGTGAAGATTCCTTACTAATCTTGCATAAATAAGGATGGAGGATTCCTTACTCAAGATTTCTTATCACGGATTCCTTAATACTCTTTCTTTGGGGCCTTTACTCAGGTGCCTTTTTCCTTGACACCGCCGGGGCCCAAATGAGTTTCCAGCCAGTCAAGAGTCGAGTCCAATGAAGATATGCGAAACTATGGAAAGCAAAGAGGAAGACGACACTCTGGACATTAGCCCGGCGAAGGACCCAACCATATGCAGTTGTGCGCATCGCAAACGTGAATTTCCTCTTCGGTGGCGCTCCCTATGGGGCCACGAACCTTGCGATGGGCGTGCCGAAATGGGCGCGGCGGACGCATGTGGACTGTGGCATTGGGGCCTCCGGTGGAGCTCCCAATGGGGCCACGAAGCGTGTGATGGGTGTGCCGAAACTGGTGTGGGGGACGCATGCGGGCGGTGGCACTGGATCCTTCGGTGGAGTTATGGGGCCACGAAGCGTGTGAGTGGAGTGCCGAAATGGGCGTGGGGGACGCAAGTGGACGGTGGCAGTGGGGCCTTCGGTGGAACTGCCGTTGGGGCCACGAAACATGTGAGGGGTGTGTCGACATGGGTGTGGGGGACGCACGTGGACGGTGGCATTGGAGCCTTCGGTGGGGCTCGCGATGGGGGCCACGAAACGTGTGAGGGATGTGCCGAAATGGGTGCAGGAGACTCATGTGGACGGTGGCACTTGAGCCTTCGGTGGAGTTCCCCATGGGGCCACGAATCGTGTGAGGGGCGTGCCGACATGGGTGCGGGGGACGCATGTGGACGGTGGCACTGGGGCCTTCGGTGGCGTTCCCTATGCTCCCTATGGGGGGCCACGAAGCGTGTGAGGGGGTGTGGGGCTGAAGCCATGTGAGGGGTGTGCTGGGGGTGGGAGACGCATGGACGGTGGCACGGGGCTGGTGGAGATCCCTATGGGGCTGTGGGCTTTCAGTGGCGCTCCCTCTGGGGAGCCACGAAACGTGTGAGGGGTGTGTCGACATGGGTGCGGGGGGCGGCTGCGGACGGTAACGCTGGAACCTTTGGTGGAGATCCCTATGGGGCTGCGAATCGTGCGAAAGGTGCCCACATGGGTGGGGGACGCATGCGGGCGGTGGCACTGGGGCCTTCGGTGGGGTTCCCTATGATGCCACGAAGCGTGTGAGGGGTGTGCTGAAATGGGTTTGGGGGACGCATGTGGACGGTGGAACTGTGGCCTTCGGTGGAGCTCCCTATGGGGCCACGAAACGCGCGAGGGGTGTTCCGAAATGGGTGCGGGGGACGCATGTGGACGGTTGCACTGGGGCCTTCGGTGGAGCTCCTTATGGGGCCACGAAACGCGTGAGGGGAGTGCCGAAGTGCGGGTGGTGACGGGAGGAGGGAAGAGGAGGAGAGGGAGGAGGAACGCGGGGACCGTCTCTTCAAAACGAGGACCCAACACCACAGGATGGTTAGGGAAATATGAGGAAATATTGGGGATCCAGGGCTTGGCGTCTAATTCTTTGTGTGTCCTGCGGTCGGGGCGGCAGGCGGGGGCGCGGAGGCGCACACGGAGAACGTAAGGCGCGGGGACGGCAGCGGGGCAGGGCAAGGCAGGGCCGGGAGCTCAGAGCGTGGATAGCTTGCCTGCAGGGCGCGCCCCCGTTGGACGGCCTCGCGCTGCGACCAGAGGGCGCACACGCCTCCCGCCCCTACGGCCGCCCCTGCGGCCGCCGCAGCGCCCCCCGCGGCCTGAGCAGCTCTGCTGCAGCTCCCGGCCCCTCCTCCCGCTGCAGCAGGCTCAGGGGCGAAGCTCGCCGGCGCGGTCCGCTGCCTGCCCCCGCGTCGGCACAGTATCCCGCACAAGCGCAGCAGACATCCGCGGACGACTTGTGTGCACCGTGCCGCGTTGGGGCGGGGCCTGAAGATAATCCAAACATGGTGCAGTGTATGGGTGCCGTTCTCGCGAAAACAAGCAAATCTCCAGATCCCATGTTCTGGCAGGGGGTGTCGCTGCTGATGGTCGCCGGCGGGATCTTCAAAAGCTCTCTCTCTCTCTCTCTTTTCGCTCGCTCTCGCCCTTTGAGAGAAAGAGCTGGGCGGAAGGGTGCCTCTCTTGGCAAGCCTGGCGGCGTAGGACTGGGGGGAGGAGGAAGAAAAAACGGGCAGGGGGGGCAGCGGTGGAGTACAGAAGACGGAGAAGGAAGAGGATTTCATCACTGCATGCGCCATACGCGAAAACCTTTCCACGATCCTCCTCCACCCTCTCTTCATTCATCATTTTCCTCCTCTATCCTCCTCCTGGTCCTCCTCCTCCGCCTCCTCCTCCTCCTTCGTGTGATCTCTCATCCTCTTCTATCCTCCAAAGAGAAGGCATTGTTTTCTGAGCCTCTGGTTCGGGTTGGCCCAAAGACCCAAGGGCCCCATTGCGTCGGCTGAAGGATGACGTGTAAGTTGGGCAGTTGCAGAGGGGGGAGATGGGAGGAAGGGCATGACGAGGGGGAATGTGGGACAATGCGTCTATCAGGGAAGCAGGGGTAAGGTGGAGGAGCGGGCTGGAGGAGGGGGGTTGATGAGGTGGACGGTGCGGTACGAAATTGAAACGAGGAGAAGCCCACACGAGGAGAAGGAGTGCGATTCCGCAGGAGGGGGTGCTTGAGGAGGACTTCGAACTCCTTCTGATTTAAGTGTACGGCCAGCCGTTTCCAGGTAAGCAGCTCGAGGTGGCACACGCTTGGCACACGCTTCGCGTGTGCAAGAGGGGCACAGGGAGGAGGAGGATGAGGAGGCAGAGGAGGCAGAGGAGGACAAGGATGATATTGAGGAATGATGAGCGAGTAATGAGGAGGAGGATTCCGGAGGAGGAGGAGGAGGAGGATTCCGGAGGAGGAGGATGAGGAGGAGGAAGGGACGGAATATGAAGGAAGCGAAGCAGAAGATTCTAGGAGGGGGGAGGAGGAGGCACCAAGAGGAGGCTATCAATCAATCAATGACGCCGTGTCTGCAAGACACATCGGCTAAAGCAGTGCCGTTGGCCGGAGGCGTGTGTCCGCCATGGCACAAGGCAAGGGCAGTTCACAGTTTGATGGCCCAGCGTTCAGCTGGTGGAAGAAACTGAACTGGCTGCCATCGCTCATGCTGGGAGGGGGGAGAGGAGGAGGAGGAGAAGGCGGAGGAGGAGGAGGAGGAGGAGGAAAAGGGGGGGTATGGCCCAATTCCAGTTCTTCAGGGTATCTCAGAGCTTGCTGGTCTTCATACATTATATGACAGCGTGGCGCCATGCCACTGACCTCCATTAGCGTGGGTTAAAATTCTCTGGCGAAGGAAACATCGCTAGCTCGCTCTCTGGCGCGGCGAGGGCAGGGGCAGGGAGGGGAGGGGCGGGAAGGGACGACGGGGCACGAGGGGGAGGAGGACGGAGGATGCCCCTGATCGCCGAGAGCGCTCGCGCTCTGACCACCGAGCCCCAGTTCAATCGAGGCCAGCCTCTTCCTCTCGGACCACGCAAGTCGGCTGGCTCGACTGTGCAAGTTTTACAGACTGCACGGCGAAGGTGCGACTCTGGCATCGCCGCGTTGCTGCCAAACATAAGAAGCTGTCGGAACAACATGCATTGGCTCAGTTGTGGTTCGCGTGCTCGTCGCCGTACTTATGCGTTCGTCACCCGTGAGATCATCGAGTGTGGAATGCCCAATCTTTGCCAGATGCACTGAGCATGAAACGTGTCGAGTTTGTCTTGGTCGGCCTTCCTCAGGCAGAGCGTCTCGATGCCGTAAGTTAACTTGCTGACGATAAGAGCGCGGAACAGTGTGATCTTACGTGTCCGTGAGATGTTCGCGTGCTGCCACACGAGTTTCAATGTCTGGAAGGCTGACCTTGCTTCCCCAATCCGTCTTGCAACGGCTGTGCCAGTGCCTCCATCACTGCGGATGCGACTGGTTTCACTGGCACCCCCTCTGCTGTCAGGATGTCAGTGTCATGTCTAACTTGCAGATGCGAAGTCTTCGACCAGTTGAGTTCGAGACCGTACTCGCGAGCTCTCAACACAAGGCAGTTCAAGAAGCACTGCGGTCTCGGGATATCATCGGATACTATCGCCGCGTCGTCTGCGAAGTTGGCATTGAAGCAAACGCCGTCAAGTGGCGTCGGGCCGAGCAGGGTCGCCACGTCAGCTTCGACGCCCGTCATGAGAACGGTCAACGTGATGATAAACGTGTAGGGGCTGAGTGGGCACCCTTGCGCGATGCCTGCGCCGATTGAACGAACTCCACAGCACCCCTGCCCGTCTGCCATCTCGAACGTGCGGTTAGTGTGGGTGCTGGCAACCATTTCCGCGTAAGCCTGCGGGATGCCGAAACGAGCCAAAGCTACCTGGAGCGCCGCGGGGTGGACCCTATCAAAGGCTTTCGACCAGTCTAAGAGGACGGCCGACAGTTTGCCATCCTTGGTCGCCCACGCCCTCTCGATAGCCCTCTGGAGGAGGAAGATCGTGTCCGTGGAACGTTTCTGCTTCCGGAAACCATACAGCGTGTCCCTCAGCTTCTCCTCCACCTCTTCTGTCGCCATGCGCTTCAATAATAAGCTCGCGAGAAATTTGTAGCTGACGGAGAGAAGGGAGATCGGCCGGTAGTTCTGCGGCAAGGACTCGTCGCCTGTTTTGAATATGGCCGTCATTGAGCAGCGTTTTCATGATTGTGGAATTGACAGGCTGGTCAAGCATGCGTTGCAGAGATCGAGAAGGGTTTGGCAGGCTTGGTCACAGTGACGTAGGGCCTTCAGAATTCGGGTGGGATGCCGTCAGGGCCAGCTGCCTTGCCCTCCTTGAGCTTTGACAAGACCGCCACCAGCTCCGCCGTGGAGAACTCTTTCAGGCTCAAGAGGATTGTCTCGTTCAGCCAGCGTCCATGCGGAAGCGCGCGGTCTCCAGGAGGAGCAACGCACTGCACAGTTTCGAAATACGTCGCCACAGCACCCGCACGCTTGTCGCTGTCCACCAGAATGCCGCCTTCGTCCCGCAAGCGGCCTTGGCACTTCCTGCCTCTGCTGCGGAAGATTTAGACTTCCCCAGTCGCCTCCTGTGAGCATCTGGTCGAGCCCAGACGATTTGGTTTCTTTCGCCAAGTGCCTCTCCAGCATGGTCTGCCCGGCTTGCTGGGCTTGGCTCGTAGCTCAATCAGGTCCAGCGTGCGCGGCTGTATCCATGGGCGGCCGGGGCGTGCGGCTCTACTATGAAGGCTTGCGCTGGCGGCCTTGCGCATGCATTTCTCGATGCGCGCCGCCTTTTCCTCTGGGTCGCTGCCCGCGCCTACCAGCTGGGAGCTCGCCGCACGGGACGTAAACTCAGCGGCGGAGCGGGTTGCCACTCTCGGGGATCGCAAAGACGCCTTGTCTATGGCTGGCCTATGGGATTTTGGTGGAGTCCTGGGGATGTGGATGTCCAGCTCCACGATGACCAAAAAGTGATGTGAGGTGAAGCCGATACCCTTGTCTGAATAAATCGCCCGGGCTGCCTCTTGCCAGTCCCGCTGCACCAAGACGTGTTCAATCTCCGCGAAATTTCGTGTGGTCAGTTCTGATGCGGCCGTTGCTCCGATATCGAAATACGTCACGCGTTGCTCGAGTGGTCTGTCCAGGAAAGTGTTCGCGATCACAAGGCTACGCGCCGAGCAGTGCTCAATCAACAGTGTTGATTACTCAGTGGCCCTTGACAAGCGCGCTGGTCGCCCCAGGCGAACGGCCCGACGACCTCCGAGTCGCAGAAGACTGGGAGACCAAACCGTGCATTGAAGTCTCCCAGCGTGATCACGGGCCCATGTGGCTTTGTTCTTTGTGCTAGCAAGGCTAAATTGTGCAAGAAGTTGTGTCGAATTTCACAGTCATGGCCAGGAGGCAGCAGGAGGGTAAGCAGGAGTACCCCGCAGGAGGACGATGAGGAACTTCGAGGAGAAGGAGGAGGAGGAGAAGGAGGAGGAGGAGGACAACTCTGCAAGAGGAGGGGGAGGAGGAGGAGCAGGAGGGGAGGAGGAGGAGGAGAACGACGACGACAACTACCACGACGACGACGACGAGAGCGCCTCGCGGCTTCCACTCCTGTGTCCCTTGCCGCGGGCTGCTCGTCTCGGCCTCGAAGCATCTTGCAGCTCGCTGCCGCAGGCGACGTGAGCCCCAGAGGAGGAGGAGGAGGAGGAGGAGGAGGAGGAGGAGGAAGGCCACACAGTCAAGACGCTGAAATGAGGGCCGCTTTGGGCTCAGGACTCGCTCGGGTTGTCGGGCCGCTCCTTCGATCCATATCGTGGAACTTGCTTGTGGCCCAGACCCGCCATGGCCAGAAGAGTCCCATGGTTCCTGATGACGCGCTCCTTCTTGTAGAAAGAGCGTGTTCTACCGCTGCTGGAGGAAAACCGGGGGGGGGCACTCGGGGTTCCGAACCCGTCCCCCCCCCCCTCGAAAACTAGGGGGGGTCACTACTGGTTCGAACCCCTCCCCCCCCCGAGTCCATAATGAAAAAAGGGGGGGTCACTACTGGTTCGAACTCCTCCCCCCTCTCCCCCCGTCGAAAACTGGGCGGGGGTCACTACTGGTTCGAACCCCCCCCCCCTTCGCCGCCGGCAAACGATTCCCGCTCCTCGGGACAGTTGGACAATGGTGGGGATGCTGGGACAGTGGTGGGAACGGTGGTGGTGGGGACAGTGGCGCAGGGACAGTGGGACAGTGGTGCGGACAGTGGTGGGGACGGTGGTGGTGGGGACAGTGGTGAGGGGACAGCGGGACAGTGGTGGGAACAGTGGGACAGTGGTGGGGACGGTAGTGGTGGGGACAGTGGTGAAGGCGGTGGTGAGGACAGTGGTGGGACAGAAGTACAGTGGGGACAGTGGTGGGGACAGTGGGGACAGTGGGACAGTGATAGGGACAGTGGTGACGCTGGGACAGCACATTGGGACAGCGGCGGGGACAGTGGGACAGCGGTGAGTGCAGTGGGGACACTGGGACAGTGGTGGGGACAGTGGGGAAAGTGGGGAGAG